GTAGAGACGGGGTTTCACCATGTTGACCAGGATGGTCTCGATCTCTTGACCTCGTGATCCACCCGCCTCGGCCTCCCAAAGTGCTGGGATTACAGGCTTGAGCCACCGCGCCCGGCCATATTAAGCTTTTCATCTGTAGACGGTGAAGTATAGAGTAGGGCCAAAAGAAATTTGTGAAAAAATTCAGGTTCAGATGCTCTGGATTTAAATAACATCCTTTTATATAACTTGTATGCTAAAAATACCTTTCATCATCCATTTTGTTAAAGGGATATGTTATTAAATATTAAAAGAGAGATGTTAAAGATCAATATCTAATCCAGGTTCATCCTGGGCCTGGCACAGTGGCTCGTGCCTGTGACCCCAGCACTTTGGAAGGCTGAAGCAGGCAGATCACTCAAGCCCAGGAGTTTGAGACCAGCCTGAGCAACATGACAAAACCCCGTCTGTACTAAAAATATACAAATTAGCCAAATGTGGTGGTGTATGCCTGTAGTCCCAGCTACTTGGAAGGCTGAGGTGGGAGGATTGCTTGAGCCCAGGAGGTCAAGACTGCAGTGAGCTGTGATTGTGCCACTGCACTCTACCTTGGGCTACAGAGCGAGACTGTTTCAAAAAAAGACATCCAGGTAGAGTCAATAATTTTTCAACTGGAGAAATTTTGTGAGTGGTTAATTCTTCAAGGCACAGGGGCTAAAACTCAAGATTTATTAATGTTCAGGGCTCTAGAATAATGCTACCCAATAGAATTTCCTGTCATGGAAATATTCTACGTCTGTGCTGTCCAGTACAGGTAGTCAATAGCCACATATGACCACTGAGCACTTGAAATGGGGCTGTTGTAACTAAGAATGTTTTAACAAATTTAAGTAGCTACATATAACTGGTGCTGTGTTACTCAACAGTACAGCTCTAGAATCTATACTTTGAGGATATGAGAATGGCCTCACAAAACAGCTCATTTTGCTGAAATGAACATTTATCAAGTGATTACAAATACACATTGTTCTAAATAGACATTAAGTTTTAGATCCTTAGGGTAAAATGGTTGTGGTTTTGCTTTACAGAGAGATGTATAATACAATTTCCTAACATATATTTGAATATATAAATTAGTTTCTCTGAGCTAATTCAAAATTATTTGCATTACACAATTTTCAATTATCTGCAACTCTTTCAGACACATTGACTGAAATGAAATACTTTGACTATCCTAAGACCATGTTAGTGTTTCAGACTGAAATTATGGGCAGTTTTAGGCACCAAGGCTTCTGGATTTATATGGTTCTGGAGAACATAAAGGATTTAGGTGAGTGAAGAGTTCAATTGGGTTGAACAAAGTGTGTGTGAGTTGTTGAGGGGTGGTGGAAATGGAGGTTTCAGAGTAAAGAATGTCTTAGGCTGGGTTGAGGTTAACCAGATGAAGTGGAACTAAATGGGTCAGGATGAAACTTTTTTTTTTTTTTTGTGGGAGGTGGGGAGGGGATGCGGAGGGGGAGGCACTGGGGTAGGATGAAACTTCTTTTAAGAGAGAGGGTCTCACTCTCACCCATGCTGCAGTGTAATGGCACCATTATAGCCCAGTGCAGCCTGGAACTCCTAGGCTCAAGTGATCCTCTTGCTTCAGCCTCCTGAGTAGCTGGGATTACAGGCACACCCCACCATGCCTGGCTAATTGAAATTTTTTTTTATAAAGATGGAGTTTCCACTATGTTGTCTGGGATGGTCTCGAACTCCTGGCCTCAGGCAAGCATCCCACCTCAGCCTCCCAAAATGTTGGGGTTACATGCATGAGCCACCATGCCGGGCCCTTGGAACTTTATTAAAAAGGGAAGTTTCTGTTTTTGTCACCACCTCCCAACTTACTCTTTAGTTTTCTTCTAGCCTTAAGGCCTGGGTATTTGTAGGAACTGGAAATAAGAGTAAACCCATGGTCTGGAAATGTTGTGTGTCCACTGCAGGCTACTGGCTTCCTTACGGAGTTCTTGATGGAAATGAAGATGTTTCTCCAAAGCAGCTTTTTGCCTAAGGAGACAACCCCACCCCAATTACAATAATTATTAAGCACCCTAGAAATTGTCCTTATAAGCTAGCTGGATAACTTTAGATTTGAATAATTATCAATTAGACTTGGGGCTGTTGATCTTGGATTTTAGTGGAAGATCTTACTCTTCATTTAGTAAATTTACATATGAGGTTTACAGTACCACGAGCCTCCTATTGGAAAAGTAAAAGGAAAGGCATAACTCACAGTGGGTTTTTTTTTTTTTTTTTTTTTTTTTTTTGTTTTATTTTTTTTTTTTTTTTTTTTTTTTTTTTTTTTTTTTTTTTTTTTTTTTTTTGAGATGGAGTCTCGCTTTGTTGCCCAGGCTGGAGTGCAGTGGCACTATTTCAGCTCATTGAAACCTCCACCTCCTGGGTTCAAGCGATTCTTCTGCCTCAGCCTCCCGAGTGACTGGGACTACAGGTGTGTGCCACCACACCTGGCCAAATTTTGTAGTTTTAGTAGAGGCAGGGTTTCACCATATTGGCCCGGCTGGTCTTGAACTCCTGACCTTGTGATCTGCCCACCTCGGCCTCCCAAAGTGCTGGGATTACAGGCGTGAGCCACCGCGCCCGGCCTAACTCAATTCTTTGTTTTTTTTTTTTTTTTTTGAGACGGAGTTTCGCTCTTGTTACCCAGGCTGGAGTGCAATGGCGCAATCTCGGCTCACCGCAACCTCCGCCTCCTGGGTTCAGGCAATTCTCCTGCCTCAGCCTCCTGAGTAGCTGGGATTACAGGTGCCCGCCACCATGCCCAGCTATTATTTTTTGTATTTTTAGTAGAGACGGGGTTTCACCATGTTGACCAGGATGGTCTCGATCTCTTGACCTCGTGATCCACCCGCCTCGGCCTCCCAAAGTGCTGGGATTACAGGCTTGAGCCACCGCGCCCGGCCTAACTCAATTCTTAATACTGCTGAAAAGGATTCCCTCGTTTAAGAGATGAAGAAAGGGCCAGGTGCAGTGGCTCATGCCTGTAATTCCTGGACTTTGGGAGGCTGAGGCAGGCAGATGGGCCACGTGTTTGAGATTAGCCTGAGCAACATGATGAAACCCCATCTCTACTAAAAATAGAAAAACTGGGGAGCAGCGCCACTCAGGTGTTGAGTGATGTTAGGTGGAGGGACTGTCACGTGACAGAAGTGGCTCTGAACAGAAAGAGGATGAAAAAAATGGTCCCCACAATGCCGGTGTGAACTGGACCTGCAGCCAGTGTGAACAGCAAAGGTCAGTATCCAGCACAGCCAACCTACCCTGTGCAGCCTCCTGGGAGTCCAGTATACCTTCAGACCTTGCATATTCCCCAGGCTCCACCCTATACTGATGCTCTACCTGCCTACTCAGAGCTCTGATCTGAGCACTGTGCACCCGGGGGCTGCCACAGTCCCCACCACGTCAGCTGCATTTCCTGTAGCATCTCTGTAACTTCCCATGGCCCAGTCTGTGGCTGTTGGGCCTTTGGTTCCACAATCCCCATGGCTTATTATCCAGTGGGTCCCATCTATCCAGCTGGCTCTACAGGGCTGGTGGAAGGAGAGTATGATGCGGGTGCTAGATTTGGAGCTGGGCTACTGCTAGCAACATTCCTCCTCCACCTCCTGGATGCCCTCCCAATGCTGCTCAGCTTGCAGTCATGCAGGGAGCCAACAGCCTTATAACTCAGTGGAAGGGGAACTTCTTCATGGGTGGTTCAGATGGTGGCTATACCATCTGCTGAGGAACCAAGGCCACCTTTGTGCCAGGAAAGACGTCACATACCTTCAGCACTTCTCACAATGTAACTGCTTTAGTCATATTAACCTGAAGTTGGAGTTTAGACACATGTTGTTGTGTCTTTCTGGTGCCCAAACTTTCAGGCACTTTTCAAATTTAATAAGGAATCATGTAATGGTGGGTATCTCCCTAAAGCATTTTGAGGTAGGGAAGGTATCCATTCATAATATGAATGTGGGTGAAGCCACCCTAAGGATCTTCCTTTAATTTCTCTGGAGTAATAGTATACCATACTGCTCTTTGAGTTTGGTAATAAAACGTCAAATTAGGATTAAAGGGAACTTAGATCTTCCTAAGACTTAACAGTTGCCAAATTATTCTGATTGGTCTTTAATCTCCTTTAAGTTTTTGATTTATATTGTTGTAAATGGAACACATTAATTGTCCCCATCTTCCTTTCCATCCCTTGCCCCACCCATTCCATCTCCAACCTTAGTCTTCCACTTCCTCCTGCCAGTCTCCACTGAATCAACAGTGCAGGACAGAAGGCCAGTCAGACTAATTTCCTCCTTTCCTCGAACTTCTCCCCACTTGTCATCTTGTAACTAGTCTTTCACAAGGATCCTCTGAAACCTGCAATGTGCCCCAAGCACAGATCCCGTTACTTCTGCTGCTTTCATATCTCCTCAGGCAATAGTGGAGGGTGACTTTTGGACCCTCCTCATAGGTTGTGTCTGCACACATGAACCTAACCCAAATTTGCTTTGGTGCGAGAAAACTGAGCTATGTTTGAACACATGTATCATGCAAACTGTTCTGTGAACAACAACTGGTTTAAAATATGAGGGGCAAGGAGGAGGATGCATTTCAAAAGCCTGATTGATGTGTTTAGAGCCAAATTAAGAGGCGTTTTCACATCAAAAATTGGTTACTATTTTTTGTCAGAGTGTCTGATGCAGCTACTCATTCGGCTCCCCAAAATTCCTAGACTGGGTTAATAGAGTCATATTGTGAATGCCTCACTACTAAATGACTTGAGTCCAGTGAGAAATCTCATTAGGGTTAAGAATATTTCAGGGATCCTTAATCATTTGAGTTTCGTTTTCTGAAATTGGATTTTATTTTATCTTATAATTTCAGTTCATCTAAACTGTGTGTTCTGTACATGTGATGTTTGACTGTACCATTGACTGTTATGGAAGTTCAGCGTTGTATGTCTCTGCCTACACTGTGGTGTGCTTAACTTGTGGATTTTTTATACCAAAAATGTAGAATACAGACTATTTTGAAGATTTGAAAAAAAATAAAACAAAAACTAGCCAACCTGGTGGCTCCCTACCAGCTACTCGGAAGGCTGAGGCACGAATCTCTTGAATCTGGGAGGTGGAGGTTGCAGTGAGCTGATTGTGTCCCTGCACTCCAGCCTGGGCAACAGAGTGAGATTCTGTCTCAAAAAAAAAGGGGGTGGGGGTGGGGTGAGAAAACAGGCCAGAGAACTTAAAGTACCTGGGCCAGTGTCACACAGTGAAGATGAAATAAAGCCAGTTGATATGCAATTCTCCTGAGTCTTGGTAGAGTGAGGCTCTTCTCCTCATCCCTTTTGTTAAGTTGGTTTTCTGCTTTCAGCTACTTGGACTGTCCTTATAAATTGCCCAGCTTTGCCTTGGATGACTGTCAGTTTCCTTCTCGTGGAAAGTTGGAACTCCCAATAGTTAGCTTGTGGTCTCGATATTTAGGAACCTAATTCTGCTGCTATGGGACATGGAGTAGATAATTTTGAAATGAAGTGAGGGCTTGCCTAATGATCCATTTTGTAATTCACCTAACAGCTGAGGAAAGTCCAGAGGAGGAAGAACTCAAGGTTAGTAGACAACCTTGAAATTGAGTTGCATTGGCTTTTTGGTCCCCTAAAGAATATTTATCATCTTAGATTCAGCTTAAGTTGTGGACGGATATTTGAAGGGGAAAAGTATTTACAGTTAAGGTTGGAATCACATGGTTTTCTGGGTTGTGCCTCTTTACCTTGCAACTTTGGCTTTGGTGGTTCTAAAGAGGGACAGTTTTTAGTTACTTTCTCTAAGGAGGAGAAGTTCATGATGTAGCTACTATAGAGGTCCTAGCTTTTAAAGAGTCAATTGAAATACATACCTCAGTTTTTATTATCAGTAAGATGCAATGATAATCAGTATTATAGGAGAATAAAGGGGGAAAACCCTGATGACTTTGTTTCTGTGCTTTTTCTTCTAACAAGGCCCTCATTTTAGATCTGGTCTTGGCCTATGTCCCTAACTTCACCTGGAAGTGTCCTTTGCCCTTTGTCCCCTTCATTCCATCCATACTGTCTTTTATTCTTCCAACATGCCAGCCTCATTTCTTTCTTCAGACCTTTATACTTACTGTTTACATGCTGGGATATTTTTTCTCCCAGATGTTTATGTGGCTCTTTGTCATTCAAGTTTCACCATATATGACACCTCTTCTGAGAGGTCTTGCCCTGGTTAACCAATTAAAATAAGCCACATGCAATTCTATCACATCTTTTTTTCTTTTTCCTCACTCTTGTCACCCAGGCTGGAGTGCAATGGCTTGATCTCGGCTCACTGCAACCTCTGCCTCCCACGTTCAAGTGATTTTCCTGCCTCAGCCTCCCAAGTAGCTGGGATGACAGGTGCCCGCCACCACACCCAGCTAATTTTTGTATTTTTAGTAGAGATGGGGTTTGACCATGTTGACCAGGCTGGTCTCGAACTGTGGACCTCAGGTGATCCACCTGCCTCGGTCTCCCAAAGTGCTAGGATTATAGATGTGAGCCACCATGCCTGCCCCCCTTGTTTTTTTCTTTCTCTCTCTCTCT